GGATGTGCAGACACCCTGGTTATTTGCGATTTGGCTTGCCATGTGCTGATACAGCTATCGGGAGCAACCCTGGCAGCATCAGCTTCACCTCCGCAGTGCAGTGAGTGAAAGCCGCTCGCTCGTGGCGAGCTGGCGAGATGTCGCAGGGCCAGGGCAACCAGTATCATCACTTCGTGGGAAGTGGTGATACCGGCGCTGCCCATGCCCATCATCAACAACAGTCTTTCGGAGAGACGGCTGAGCAGGACTTCTATTTTGATGCCAATGCACTGTCGAACGGCCTCCATCCCGCGCTGCAGTACGAAGACACCTCCTCGTTCCAAGATAGCCAGTTTTTTGGCCACGGAAATCCGCCTTATGGGTACCAGGCAAGACCACTAGACACGACGTCCGCGGTTGGATACAGCAATTTTTCCAACTCGTTCACTGGCAACAACCACTCGGACGAGCAATACTCCTCCCCGTCGACACAGACGCAGCAGTTCCAAGAACCTTACCATGGGGACATGTACGTCCAGCGGCAGCCTGGCCAAGGCCAGCAACTGAATGACCCTGGACGGCACATCAACGGCCAGCCCCAGCAGTTTGTGCAGCATTCCCAGCACCCCCAGACTCAAGGTAGCTACCAGGTGCATGGGAATCAGGAGAACCAGTTCTACACACCTCCCCAGGAGTTCCGCACGCACACCCCGACGCAGACGCAGTCGCAGCCCCAGCCACGGGCACAGCCTCAAGGGCATCCGCAGCAACCATTGCAACAGCAAATTCAACAGCTGCAGCCCCAACAGCAGGTTCATCAACAAGCCCATCATCAGCAGCAACCCCAGGCCCACCAATCACTGCAGCATCAGTCACAGCCGCAGGTGCATCAACAGCAGGTGCAGCAACAGCCGCAACACCATCAACAACCGCAGGCTCGACAACCACAGCTACAGCAGCAGCAGCATCCGCAACAACAACAACAACAGCAGCAGCAGCAGCAGCAGCAGCAGCAGCCGCAGCAACAGTTCCAGCACCAGTTGCAGAGACATCCGCAGCAACAACAACAGCAGCAGCAGCATCAGCCACAACCACAACAGCCAGGTTTCCAGGGTCAGGGGGCCGCACCGCCCTTTGGATACCCGGCCCAGCAACCGCCCGTCGCTCGTCAAGCCCGGGTGCAGGCTGCGGCAGCACAGTATGCGCCGAGCCCCATTGGCCATACTCATAGCCCTCGGCCGGTGAACGTAAATTCTCCCGCAGGCACAGTCAACTCGCCGTTCCAAATGCCAACCTCGACGGCCCCGGGACAGTCTGCCAACAATTTTGTTTCGGCGACTTTTGAGCCGCCTGCTGCTCCTAATCAACATGTGCAACCGATGCACCCTACCGCCCAGGCCTGGAATGCGGCCGCTCCTCAAGCGGCCCACTCAGCCGCGGTTTCTCAGGTGCAGGGATTCTCCGCGATGTCAGAACAGCAACAGCCCAACCCTGCGTTGGCCAGATCTACCGCCGCTCGGGCAGGGCAGCGCGCAAACCCTTTGCAACAGGCACCATCTCCGGCGCCTGGCCCGGCCCAACCGTCCCCTAGATCAGTATCCGCAAAGCTCGCAGCTGTGCAATCCAGTGCTCGGCCCCTGGCTGCTCAGCCTGCACAGGGACCTCCCGCCCAGTACATGTCCACGTTTTCATCGTCTGCCCCGGTTTCCGCTGTAACACAAAAACAAACTTCGATCAAAGCATCTGCATCGATCAAGGGCACTCAGCTACCGGATCGTGATCTCATGGTGGCCCAAATGAACGCACCTCGGGTCAACTGGATTGGAATGCCTAACGTGGTGGTCGGACCTTCGATTTCGCTTCCGATGTCGCCACCACAAGAGTCTCTCGTGTTGTGTGACCCTGAGAGGGGGCTGGGGCTTCAGGTCATGAAGCGTGAAACCCACCTTCCCGCCGAGCTCATCAGCCAGTTTGTGAGGGTCAACGAGAGCCAGGCAGACGAGGGTAACATTGAAGGAAAGCTCAATGCACTCGATATGCTGGTTCAGAAGGACTACGGGTTCAAACTCTCAACCCCACTCAAAGACGGCCTCGAGAGGTTGATACTGGATGGGGATGATGAGCCGGCCAGGAGTGAGGTGCGCCCAACCGACCCGTTGGAAGCGGCGGCTTGGGACGCCATAGGCACTGTATACATCAGCAGCAGCCAGCGCAGTGTTGCCGTCATCAAACAAGCCGTCAAAGACTTTGGTGACCTTGTCAAAGGCTTTGCCGACAAGATCAAGGCGCTCAAGGTGCAAGTTGACTCGGCCTCGGAAGGCTCTGCCGACAAGGCCAAGTTCAAGGATGCCCTTGTTCACGAACAGAAGCTCATACACCGCGCCATCGACGCTGCGTACGATAGGGGTGATATTGCAATCCTGGAAAATCTCGGCGGCAACCGCCCCCTTATTGGCCATCTGGTATCCTCGCTCAGGGACTGCTACAACGCGAGCGATTTCAGCGGAGACTTCCCCAAGGCCATCTTGAGACTGCTTACTCTGTTTATCTCGCTCCCTGAGGAGATCCTGATAACAAAGCTCAAGTTTGACAAGATTCAGAAGAGGTTTCTGGTCAAGGGCGACGACGAGGTCAGGAAACTGATGAAGAAGATCGATAAAATCATCGGTCGCGGCAAGGATGCCGGCGATGCAGCCGTCACCAAAGCAGTTGGTGGCGGTCCACTCTCAGTGCCCAAAGGGTCTGCCGAGATGACAAAGGTACCCTCTTCCTCCGGTGTGAATGGCAAACTCGTCAAGTCCACGAGAGTGCCATCGGACTCATCCCCCTCCAAACGGCCACGGGAGGATGACTCTGACGCGCCGGCTGCGAAGAAGTTTGCACCAAACCCATCTGCCCCTGATGGCGCTGGCGCAAAAGCCCTGTCGGCAGGGCTAGTGGGAAAGCCGCTTGGAATGACAGGGTTATTGCCAGGCAAGTCGCGGCCTCTCACCAAGCCCATAGCCAGACCGGACCCTGCCAAAGCGCCGTTGCCTGGCAAAGCAGATGGTTCCAAGCCTGCAACGGGGCCCAAGATCGAGCCGATCAAGTACGAACTCACTCGGGCAAAGAAGGCGGTCGGGCAAAAGACGGAATCTCCCTTTGGCGGCTCAAGGCTGGGCTCTCTTCTCAACGAGATTGCTCAGCCCAAGAAGCCCTCGCAGCCTGCCGCTAAAATGGACATCGACATGGAGGTGTTGGAGACACCCGAGGAGACTGAAAAGCGGTTGCGCAAGGAGAAGCGACGGAAGCTCCGCGTTGTGTGGAAGGAGGGCGATGCGCTCACCGAGGTCCGCATTTTCCACAAGCACGCCGAGGAGTCGGACGACGATGTCAAGGCGAACACCGTGACGCGACACGCAGCCTATGACAGATCGGAAGGAATGATGTTGAAGCAGGGACAGAAGGGGCTGGATCTGGACAAGGACGAGGAAGAAGAGGAGGAGCCAGCCGAGCGTTCGTGGAACGAGCCGAGCCAGCTCAGCTTCGCGACTCTGCCCAAGGAGAAGCGGGAGGGCAACTATGCCAGTCGTGGCGGTCTCAAGTCGATAAGTACGACTGAGAAGGACGTCATGGCAGCGCGGCAGCAAGTTGAGGTGATGGCCTTCTACATCGATCCCGCCGACATCCCAGCCACACCCAAATCACCAGTCGGGCTTTCCAAGGAGCCTCTGAAGGCGCCAGACCCTGTTTCCTTACCTCCCACTACAACCAACCTGGACGAGATCCATACGAGATGGCGCGATTCTGAGCATTTCGGCGTCAAGCAGGCGACCAACAACGCCATCGTACGGATACATCAACGGAACGCCAAAGCCATTTCCGCTCAGCAGCCCGCTCCCCAAGCTCAGCCACCTCATCACAGACAACCGTCGTTGCCCAACAGCGAGCATGTGCTCGCCCTACTGAGCTCTGAGAAGCTCTTGAAATGGATCGCCCCGGATCCGTACGACCCTGAACGTCCCAAGACACAGCGACGCTTCAACCATCCGGATACGGCTATCCAGAAAGCCGTGGATGCGGCCGAAGAGCTCGTTTGGAAGTATAAGGGACTGCCATTCCCGCCCACTGACCCACCAAGCTACATCAGTGACCCGGACAGGATTAGAGAATGGTGGCAGGGCTTCAACCGAGAGAAGGAGCGGCGGGCGCAGGCTGTCGAACAAGAGAGGCTACGCAAGGAGGCCGAGGCGCGTCAGGCTGCACAGATGCAGCAGCCAAACGGCAGCGCCCAGCAGACTCCAGAGGAGCAGGCTGCGTGGGCAAAGTACTACGCGCAAGCATTGGGCCAGGACCCGGCGCAGCTCCAGGCCATGATGGCTGCGCAACAACAGCAGCAGCATGCCCAATATGCGCAGTACTATCAGCAGCATGCACAGGCACCTCCTCCCGCGCCTGCTCCTACCGCGCCGGCGGGCGATATGAACTCGCAGCTCCAGGCTCTGCTATCGGCGCTCGGTGGTGCTCCGCAGGCGCCTCCGCAGCCTCAAGTGCAAGCCCCGGCCGCGGTCCAAAACCCGCTGCTCGATCCGCAAATCCAGGTGCTCCTTGCGAGCGGCCAGATGGACCCCGCGCAACAAGCTTTCCTCCAGCAGCAACTTGCACAGTGGGCCACGCAGCAGCCGGGAGCTGCGGCCGGCGCAGGGGCCGGAGGCAAGGCGGACATGGGCGGCGGCAGCGGCAGCAATGGCGGTCACAGGCCGAATGGCAACAACGACCATGGCGGTAACAATGGCGGACGTGGAGATCGCGACGAGCGAGAACGCCGCGACAGCCACCACCGCGAAAAGGACCGGTTCCGGCGCGAGAAGCGGTCTAATCCCATCAACCGCGACCTCATCGGCACCAAGCCCTGCATGTTCTGGTCCAGCGGGAAGTGTGCAAAGGGCGGCAAGTGCACCTTCCGGCACGGCTAGATGTCACGTCTGTCACGTCCTGCATACATGGAGATGACTTTTTTTTACTTGGGTTCTTACGATAGAAACTTATGTGGGCGTATGCGCCCTCTTTACCCCTTATCCTTTCTTTTGTTCTTTTCTGGTCCTCTATTCTTCATCACATGTTCTTTTCTCATCTACCGATGTTTTAGGGCCGAACCAGAGGCCAGGGATCGTCCAGAGGTATCATTATCATTCTCAGCTGCAGTCTGTGCGTCATCACGAGCCATCAGGACCCTTTTTTACCATTTGCTTTATTTCTTCCCGACCTCGCTCGGCGTTCAGTTGCAGCTAGACAGTGCTCGGTGTGTGTACGTACTATGAAGGGCCACGGGGATGGCTTGACGCAAAGGCGGTAATGAAGCATGGAGGAGGGAGAATCTCGGGCGTCCCTCGAGGTACTTGCTGGCCTATTCCACATTTGCCCGCCGAGGAAACCCAGGTCCTGCCTGAAGCAACCCTCCTTGGGCGGGAAGCCAGATGCTTCGAGGGAGAGAGCCCAGTGTAACAGTGTTTTTTTTTTTTTGCGAGATGACAGTGGGCGGCCCGCTCGGTCGAGCCCGAATGAACCCCTATCAACCAAAGGCGTGACCAAGAAGCCATACGTGATGTTGAGATGCAGTGAACAAGATTGTGCTATGAATGTTACAGTCTGGTGTTATTAGGCGCCCCCAACCCTCAGAGTCCTTCCTACCTTGGTATCGGGGCATCGGAAATCCGGACTCTGAACCGGGGCCGTTTCCCCCTCTTCAATCTTTTTTCTTCTTCTTTTGCCTTGTGGCCCTCGGTTCTGTCCGTCATCTTCACTCCCCCAGCCCCAGCCTCGCCTCTATCACGCGCACAATCTCCCTCCAGTCGACCATGCCACCGACTCCCATGTCGCCGCACGCCAGCACCTTGGCCTGGGGGTGCATGACCTCGAACCAGCCCCCACCACCACCAGCGCCAGCAGTGGTCGATTGCGAGGCCGCCGCGGCCGTCGCGCCGTTGGCGTTTGCCACCTCGGCCTCTCCCCTGTCTCCTCCCGTCTCCTCCGCGTCGCCATCAGCAGCAGCAGCAGCAGCAGCAGCAGCAGCAGCAGCAGCCGCCGCCGCCGTCGTCGTCGTCGCCACGCCCCACTCGCGCTCGAGGGTGCGGACCTGGCGGGCAGTGATGGGGTGGCGCCACATTGCCGTGTTCATGGCCGGGCACACGACGATGCGCTTGGGGCGGCCGTCGACGGCGCCGTCCGTGTCCCAGGCGCGCACGACGCTGGTGAGGAGGTTGTCGCACAGGCCGTTTGCGACCTTGGCGAGAGTGTTTGCGCTCAGGGGGGCGATGACCATGATGTCGGCCCCTATTTTTTTTTGTTAGTCTTTTTTTTATTATCCATGCTCGAAATCTCACTTTGTAGATACACACCACAAAAAAAAGAAGAAGAAAACAAAACGTACACCTCCGCAGCTCAATGTGCAAAATGTCCCCTCCCCGCCGCCACGGCCGCGGCCCCCACTCGTCGGCGTCGCCGTAGACGGCGTCGACGCACGGCATGGCGGCGACGGCCGAAAGGGTCGGCTGCTCGGCCGCCTGGCCGGCCAGGAAGTGGGCGGCGGCGCGGGTCAGGACGATGCGGATGGAGAGCCGGGCCGGCCCGTGGGCGGCGGCCAGGGCGCCCACGATCTCGGGCAGCTTGATGGTGGCGACGGAGCCCGAGGCGGCCAGCAGCAGGTGGCGCTTGCCGTCGCCCATCGAGGCCGTCAGGGCCACGAGCGAGGTGGACATTGTGCGCGTGTGGTGCGCGTCGTGATGCGGGGTTATTGTCTGGAGCATCTTTTTTTGTTTTTTTCTGTTTCTTGTTTCTTGTTTGCGATTGTTTTGTAGTTCGTGGATTCGCAGTGTCCGTCCTCGACTGGATGGTGGGTGCTGACCGAAAGCCACCGAAACAAGCAAGCCACGATTCGACCCGGGCAGTTGTTATTATTATAAGTCACGGCGTCGTCTGGATTACAATGAGTCTTCACTACATGTGGTCTGACCGAGCGGGGATCGAGGCCGAGGACGGAATGAGGTCGCTGGTTAGCAAAACTCAAAACTGCAATGGCCTCGCAAACAAACAGTCACGCTCCTCTAGGCAGATCCGCGACCGGCAAAAAAGCCCCGTCATCGCAGCCCTAGCAGCATCGTCTTCGCCGCCCATCGTCGTCCGATTAAGGTTGTCGGATTGTCCATGTGGCCGCGCTCTGTGAGGGGTGGGGTGACGCAACGGCAGACCTGGCTGGGCCGTGTCCCGATGTGGCAGGTACATCCAGCTGTCGTGAAATACATCAAATCTCATCGTGGGAACGAAAGAACGTTTGGAAATACTTCATCTTGGGCACTAAACTGATAAGATACTTTAGCCTAGGAGAGGAGAGTAGTTTTCAATAAGAGGTAGGCCGAGTCTTCCACGCACACCCTGTCATGCCCTTGCTCCATCAGAACTAAGCACTCCCGCAATCTACCGCCATACCCTCAGTCTCGCCCCTTCACAGCTCTAGCCGATTCCATTGCTTCTTTCCCCGCCCGCTCTTCTTGGACTCCGTCTCTATCTGAGGCTTGTCGGCAGGCCTCGCCGCCTCGTTGGGCTTCCCGCCCACCCAGGCACTGTTTTTGACTCCGCCTCCGGTTCCCGCGACATTGCCGTTCCGAGACTTGCCACCGGAACCAAGCGATGGAAAAGCCGGAGCTGCGCTACTGCCGTTCTTGGGAAGGGCGACCGCTCGCCTGGATGCTGCTGGTGGCGCAGCCATGGCTCGAGGAACTTTAGGGGCCAGAGGGCCAGACCAGTTGGGACCCAGGGGAGGTACATTGGCAGTCGCCGCCTTGCGTGTATCCCGGCCTGGCTGGTGCTTCCGGCTCGGCTCCAAGGCGACCCAATCTCCCTCCTTCTTTTTCATTTCCGCCCACGGTGTGTTGGTCGAGGTGGTCTCGGAACCTGAGAATGTCGCGTCCGACCGCGCGCTGTTGCGGGTCGTCGGCTCATCGGTCGAGATGTCTATCAGGATGCCCATCTTTGGTTTAGGTAGACGGCCGCCTCCCGGGGCGCGGACTCCCACCATTGCTTTCGATGAACGGCCGCCGCCCGGGGTGGGGAAGTGCTTCTCGGCGTCAAGCTCGTCGGGCGCTTGTTGCGTATAGAACTCGTACGTCCACTCAGGACTGGACGGACGGGGCTGGTTGGGCCTGGGCTTGACCTTGCGGATGTCCCTGCCTTCTCTGCGGTAGACCTCGTCAATCGCCTCGAGCGTGCCGATGAGTGTCCTCCGGAGTTCCACAAACATGTCTCGCACCTCGGGGAAGACATGGGACCTGGCCGTTTTGTAGGGGCACTTGCCGGCGGCCGGGGTTGACGCATCCGCCCCCGCACGCGCAAGCGCCATCAGCGACCCGACCACGTCATCCCGCAATTCTGGGTTCGTCTGACCCAGCACCTCGTGGATGGGCGTGTTGCCGCAGTGATTCACCACGTTCGGGTCTGGGTCCCGCTTCAGCAGCACGTCAACGAGGTCGAGAAACGCAAACCGACACGCGACATGGAGGGCAGTGGTCCGGCTGGGTTCATGGACTATGGGATTCCTGCAGTCGTCACAATCTGTGTTGCAAGGGTAGAGCGACAGCAAGAGCTTGGCGGTAGCGAGGTGGCCATGCGATATGGCTGCGTATAGCGGGGTGTAGCCCTCCCCGTTCTGCGCAATGGGGTCGGCTCCCAAGTTCAGAAGCCGGCGGATGGCTTCGTTGTTGCCGCTTGCCGCAGCAAGGTGCATCGGCGCCTGGCACTTGTGGTCGCAGTCGAGCGACTTCCAGCAGCGATGTCCACAGCGATGCGCTCTGGACGTCTCGGACTTGCGGTTCGGGTCGGCGCCGAATTCGACCAGCGCATCCATGGTCTTGGCAACCATGCTTTCCCAGGACGAATGGCCGAAGAACTTGCTGAAGACCTTTTCGTGACCTTCAATGGAGGGGAACCAGGGAGCTCGCTGGGCTAGGGCGACGTGTATTGGTGCGGCGCCGTACTTGTTCAGCTCGTTCGTCTCTACACCCCTGATGAGGAGCATTCTAGTGGTCCGGGACAAAGCAAAGCTGCAGGCGATCCGGAGAGCAATGTCCAGCTCGCGCGCACTGGTGACTAGGCTTGGCCGTGCGAGTGTCAGGCCCAGCGGCGTTAGGTCTGGGTACAACTGGGATCCCTCCTGGATAATGTCGGCCCCGTGCTTGGCCAGATGGGCAGCAACCCTGGGGGCGTCCGCAACCAGAGCATGGTGTATAAATGTAATTTTCAGCTTTTGGAAGATACGCCTAGGAATCACCCCCCTGAAGTCGAGCTCCTCGTCAGACCGAAGCGTCAGGTAGGTGATGATGTTGATGGAGTCGTGGCGGACTGCGTGGAGAAAGAGGTCCGTCAGTGTCAGCTGCCTGCTCCGCTGCTTTTTTCTGGAAATTGCCTCGATGCCGAGCCTGAAAACACGGTCGCCGAAGAGCCAGTGGAAGCGACGACAAACAGAGCTTAGGGCACTGATGTCGGTGATTTCGTCGATATACTTGGAAACCATGAACAGAATCTCGGTGGGACAGCCACCGAGATACGATTGGAGCGTTGACATGATCAGAGAGTGCGACGAAATAGACCTATCAAAGCGGTTGGTGGGACAGTTGCCGGCGCGTAATGGCGATCTGAGTCGAGTCTGAGAGTCGGTAGATAGGTAGGTATCTAGTCAACGAGCTGGGGGTGGTTGTTGTAGCGACAGTGACAATTAGATGCCCCGTGCTTTGTTGATACATGCCGGGGCAAAGCAACCAAGAAGAGTACTGTCACGCCGTGGCAGCGTCTCGACCGTGATTGTGCGTAGGTGGGTGACCTAACCGATGCAGATTCAAGGTCGAGTCGTGTGGAAAAGAATCCGAAAGAGAGTCGAGCATCTGCAACTTCTGGCTGCCTTGCACCTGCCTTTCTCCGAGGGGCCCCACTTGGACCATAAGTATTCTCAGCCTCTTTTTTTTTTTGCCTTCCCAGAAGACGGATATGGGCCCTGGAAGCACACGAAGCTTGTAGTGGTCCTATCAGGCGGAGACCTGCCCGCTAGCTTTTTTCTAAACGCGAGTTGCAGGTGGTGCTGGCACCCTCGATATCAAGGGCACGGTCTGGCAGTTGGCCAGAGGTTTTGGGCTCCAACCCAGCTTCCATGCTTCCGCGGCATTCTTGATTATTTTTATCACCCGTCTTATTCTTTATCCCTACCATGAACTTCAAATTTGTACTAGGCGATCCTCTCAGCTATCTTTGCAAAGTAGCGCTGTCAACAAAGTATCTCGGCTGCAGGGCCGACGGCAAACGGCTTGAGAGGATACCTATGAAGCGTAATCTCCGCAAGACACAAGAAACTCGTATCAGGATCAGACGCTGAGCATCCAAAGATGACCACAATTTACCATTTGGAGTGTTCCACTTGGGGTGGGTTGATTCGGAAGCGTCTGCAAACAAGACAAACAATGCCGCCACAGGTTGGCCTACATCACAACATCGCCAAAGAAATGGCGTTTATTTACGGTATCCAGTGATTTACAGACAACATCAGCTTTTCGATCTACTTACTGGTAACACTTGAGCTATCAAAACATGGCACTAAGCGGTTGCAATGAAAGAACTGGGAAATGGGCGATGGTATGGTGGGTGCAAGGAACATATAAAAAAGGAAGAATAGAATATTGGAACGAAAAGTGATGGCGAATAGCCAGATGGAGTTTAGTTTAACCTGTGAATTAGGGTTCCACCGTCCTGGTTAAAACTGCAGGCCTTATTTGGACTCCTGCTGAAGTCACAGATGGGAGATGGGGAGGCGGAGGGCTGGCTTGGGAGTGCCCATCCCTGAGCTGGTAACTACTAGATTGGGACTAGCGCTCTGGATTTACTTGGATTTTCTCAATTTCTTGCAGGACCCACAACCAAAGCCGCCATCGGGCCACACCTCTTACATCATCAACCAACAGGTGAATTTTGCATGCGTAGTAACCGCAGGCGGCGTTCAGTGTCGAGTCTCGCAACAAACACTCTCAACTCGAAGCCAGAATGATCACCAGCAGATTCCTGTCGACAGTACGTTGCCCACAAGCCAACATCCTCATTGCGCCCATACTCCTCACTCCAACCAACCGACAAAACAGGCGCATCTAACAAACCCCCACCCTGCTCGCAGAACCTGCTCCGCCAGGCCGGGGCGGCGACGGCGGCTCCACGCGCCGCGGCGCCGTTTAGGGCAACGGCGGCCCCCTGGCGCATACGCACGCCGCAGCAGGCGCGGTTCCTCTCGGACGGCACGCGCCAGGCGATCGACAAGGCGGTCGCGTCGGCGCCCGTGGTGCTCTTCATGAAGGGCACGCCCGAGACCCCGCAGTGCGGCTTCTCGCGCGCCAGCATCCAGGTGCTCAGCATGCAGGGCGTCGACCCGGCAAAGTTTGCCGCCTTCAACGTGCTCGAGGACCCGAGCCTGAGGGAAGGTGTGTTGCGCCTGTCCAGTGGGAGGGAGGGAGGAAAGACCAGGAAGCTGATCACACACCCGCCCCGCGCGACGAAACAGGTATCAAGGAGTACTCCGAATGGCCGACCATCCCGCAGCTCTACGTCGAGAAGGAGTTCATCGGCGGCTGCGACATCCTCGTGTCGATGCACAAGAGCGGCGAGCTGGCCAAGCTGCTGGCCGAGAAGAAGGTCTTGGCCGAGGAGCCGGCCGAGGAGCCTAGCAAGAGCTCGTGACGAGGGGATGGGGAAGCAAAAGATACATAATACCAAAGGAGGCCAGAGTAGCGGGCTACGAATGTACGACAATCTTTTCTCCCGGACAGGTTAGACTAATTCTGTACAATAGCGCCATCGAGATTCGTTGCCTGTCATGGAAACACGAAACCAGGAAGCTGGATATGAGATCACCCATGCAGCCATGGGTTCACCGAGCCTGCTCAGAGGGCACTATCACACTTGGCAGAACATGTCCCTTCCGGCGTCAGACGAGTGATGGAGTGAAGCAAAGTACGACTTTTCGATACCCCTATACTTGTGAATAGTACGGCCGAGTTTATGCACTTTTTCTCAAGGTGTATTTGCTTCTGTTTGGAACTTGCCCACCGCCACAACTAGGCTTTTAAATCACGCGGGGTACGCCGCGCCGTCTCCGCGCGGGTCGCTGCCGGCAGACCACAAGCCCGTCTTGTCGACCGGGTCGAGAGTGTACCTGATGATCTGGCCGCGCCCGAACTTGCCAATGTCCCTGGTGACCTCGATGTTGTGGCCGAGCTTCCTGAGGCCGTCGACCGTCTCTTGCGGCATGCCCTCCTCGACATAGACGACGTCGTCGCCCAGCTTGCCCGTCTCCTCGTCGGGCATGCCGGCCCCGATGCAGATGCGCGGCGCGTCCAGGGCCTGCTGCGGGCTCAGCCCCCCGACGACCTGGCCCAGCAGCGTCTGCACGTGGCCCTGCGGCTGCATGAAGCCGCCCATGACGCCGAAGACGGAGTGCAGGCTCCCGTCGGCCGAGTTGGTCACCAGGCCCGGGATGATGGTGTGGTAGGGGCGCTTGCGGCCCGCCAGCACGTTGGGGTGGTCCCGGTCCAGGCTGAAGTTGGACCCCCGGTTCTGCAGCGTGAAGCCGCAGCCTTTGGGCACCATGTGCGTGCCGAAGCCGCTGTAGTTTGAGTTTATGAAGGAGATGGCGTTGCCCTGCGCGTCCGACACGGCAAAGTAGACGGTGTCGCTGCTCCGGAGGGCCGGCGACGGGAAATCGTGCTTGGCCGGGTCGCCGTGGAGCTGCTCCGTCGACGCCCGGGCCGGGTCGAACAGCCTAGCGCGCTCGGCCAGGTAGGCGCTCGACAAGAGCCCCGCGCTCGGCACCTTGACGACGTTGGGGTCCGCGACGAACCACGACGCGTCGGCGAAGGCGATGCGCAGCGCCTCGATGACGACGTGCAGGTACGCCGCCGTGTTGTGGTCCGACGGCTTGAAGGTCGGGATCCGCCCCGCGCGCTCCAGCTCCTGGACGATGCCGAGCGCCATCAGCGCCACGATGCCCTGCCCGTTGGGCGGGTGCTCCCACACCTCGAGGCCGGCCTCGCCCTTGTCGCCCGCGGCGGCAGGGGAGACGGCGGCGGCGCCCTGGGCGGCGAACTTGATGGAGATGGGCTCGACGGGCTCGCTGCCCACGTCGAGGTGGTGCTTGAGGTCGTCGAGCTCGAGGAGGCCGCCCTGGTCCTTCAGGACCTTGACGACCTCCTCGGCTATCCGGCCCGTGTAGAAGCCCTTCTTGCCCTCCTCGCCCAGGGTGCGGAAGGTGCGGGCCAGGTGGGGCAGCTTGATGACGTCGCCCGGCCTCGGGGCCCTGACGCCGTCCGGGGCGCTGGGGTCCGCCTTGAGCATCTCGGCGAAGTTTGGGGATGCTTTACGGAGGCGCTTTTCGGATTCCCCCCACTAGTATTTTTTCATGAGTTGTTAACATGTTTGATGTGTACGTTAACCCAATACGCCCCGCGCATCGTTACTTACAGCATTCGCCGTGATCTCGGACACGGGGAACCCCTTCTCCCCTAGCTCGACGGCCGGGGCGAGAATCTGGGCCAGCGTCAGCTTGCCGCTCCCGAACCGCTCCACCGTGTCGGCCCAGCCGGCGGCGGCGCCCGGCACGGTGGCGGAGTGGGGGCTGGACGAGGGGATGTCGCCCGACCTGCCGCCCTCGGGCAGGCCGAGCGACGCGCGCACGGCCTCGAGCGTGCACTTGGCCCCGGCGCGGCCGGACCCGTTGAGGGCCGAGACCTTGCCCGAGGCGGCGTCGTAGTAGAGGCAGAACATGTCGCCGCCGATGCCGGTCGAGCACGGCTCCGTCATGTTCATGCCGGCCGCTGTTGCTCAATCAGCGCTTGCTTATGGAATGTCACATCTGATGTGGAGTGGTAGGTGGCTGCCGTGTGGCGGTAGGTCCTACCAACTGCGACGGCGGCGTCCTGTGGTGAGCGTGCTGCCGGTCAGTCCCGTTTGCTTGCTCCTGGAGACGGGCCATGTGCTGTGACGACCACCTACAGCCGCGTTTCCTCCGGCGTTCAGGATATCGATGCCGCATTTTGCCGCCAGGGGCTGCGTGCACGCCACGATGCCCTTGGTGCTGTGCACGACGCTCCTCCGACTGGCAAACTTTCGCAGGTCCTCGGACGGAGGCGGGTACACCGAGGGCGTTGTGAGGGGCATCTTGGGCGGGTTGGGCAAAGAAACTTGGGGGTGAGTGGTGATGTTGATGGCTTGGAGCAGGCCTTGCGGAGACGTAGAATTATAGATAACCGCCACAAAGATACCCCTGTGACCCCTCAGTAATGCCCGGCCCGACGGAACTGACACTGGCCGGCCACCCGGGCTCTGATGGAGATGAGTCGAGTTTGAGCTTTGACGAACAGCACCAGCGCTGAAAGCCCAGCAGCCCTCCATACACACATGACGAATTGCGCCTGAGACTCCACCGTCTGCCGAGGCTGCCCGGCATCATTACGTACGAGGTGCTTCTTAGTAAACCTATCTTTTTCTCTATCTTTGAGACTGTCTAGATAAATAGCTATGTAGTTTACCCTCCCTGTTAGCCTTTATCCCCTCATCCCTCCCAAACCCCGGCTGCCCCAACCCATCACCGCGGGGTTTCCCCGGGACACTGTGGAGCAGCCGTCCCACGGCCATTTCATCGCCTGGGACCGGGCACTGTGCGCCGTGATCGGACCTCTTGTCGAGCATGCGGCTCTCATCTGGGGCTGTCTAGGATCGATGCCAGAGGATCGATGCCAGAGGCACGAGAGGCCGTCGCAGACGAAGCGGACCAATCAGGCTCGGATCGCAGACTCGATCGACAACGGGAGCAAATAGGCCGCCGGGATCAAAAACGTGACATTTCCGGGGAACACAACAGGGCGGGCTCTCGCTGCGCCATGTGATTCGCCGTCGTTACATACAAAATGCCTATATCTATCGCATACAGCTGCTGCTGTCAGTGTCGCACCATGCCTCGAGCCACCTGGGCTTGCCTGGTTGGCCTCGCCCAGTATCCGCCGTCGCGATTCGCGGTGAAATGGCTTCCTGCATGGAATCTTTTTTTTTTTTTCGTTTCGAGCCTGTGGTGGTACGGCATGAACGAGTTCTGCCCGGCCAACGGTTCTGCTGCTGTTTGGTGCTTCTGGCTTGGGCGACTGGCATGTCGGGCGGTCGCGCCTTGCGGATAGCTTCTGGGCCAGTGACGTGCTCGGGGCGGCCAGGGATCCATGTTGGAGCTTGTAGGGCCATGGCTGTCAATCATTTGTCGACAGCCTGCCGATAGCGCCTTTGTTAGTGCGAGCTTCGCACAACAGAGCGCCTTGCCGTTTTCGTCGCCGAGCGAGATGAGCCCCGTTTTGCGGCCGCAGTAGTCGAGACAAAGCAAACATGGGACGTCGCCTGAATATTAGCGGGAGAGGGCTAGTCCAGATGCGGTAGCACTTGATGCTTCAATTTTATCACTTCACCTAGGCAAATACCGTCGTCGCCGCGGGAAATAAAAGATTTTT